TCATGACATTGACCGATGTGTGCAGAGGCATATTATCCCTATGGAAGGGCACACATTTTCTCAGCGCTCACGTCTCTTTTGCCTTAATTTCATCCTGTGATTGCCTCAAAAGTGCAACATTATATGCTCCGTTTATTGTCTGGCCACCTTCGGCACCACAGAAGAAAACGGAAGCCATACGTTTCCAGCTGATGGGTATTTCTTTGCCTTCTTGTGTCGTCTTGATGTCAGATGCTTCCACTATTTTGATTGTTGTTTGGAATCAGGCTTGAGTGACAATGTATTAATTGAATTCCATATCAATGAGTTTACAAAAATAAGGCGATTTCTTACTCCTTGAGATTGCTGTTTAAGAACAATTGGCGGTATTTGTCTAAGTTAGGCCATGTACAGTTGAATGATTTACAGTAAGAGCCCACAGTATCGAGTAGAGATAATAGTTCTTGATTTTGTTATTAAACGTTTGGCTAAACCAGAACCTATTAGGATCTGAATTTAAAGTTATTGTGGATGTTGTCGAAGCATATGCCAGAAGTGACCAAAAGTGAAGATCAACTTGTTAAATGTCTTTCAGGGTGGGTTTCATTATGTTTTCACTGTTACAATGTACAAGCTCAAAAACAGAGGAAACAGAATTGGAATATCCTATTCTGTCCCAGTGAGCTGTCACCCAAAGTGAAATACCATAACCATTATATGTAAGCATCATTACATTAATTGTTTGAAAATGTTAGCTGCCCAAACATGCATCAGTACTATCAGCTGTTTTCTTGACTCTGAACCTGAAAACCTGGAGACATGTCCATTCGTCTTCTGTAATGAATGTATAAGGCCCATAAACATCCGTCCAAAGACAGACATAATGCTGGTCCAGCAAATGTACCAAAAGGTCAATGTCTAAACAAATAATCATGAACCTCAATACAATCTAGGACGGATTTTCTTTATATTCCCAGAAAGTATTTGAGTGATTGAGTTGGGTTTAACCCCGCTTTTAACAGTATTCCAGTTACATCACGGCGTGTCAGCTTAATGTGGAAGAAAAGCCCGAAGTGATACAGGTCTCAGATGTTTACCACTTCGGTGAAACCCACGAGCACGGGTATGGTGCTGATAAAAACCTAGAAACATAATACGGGCGAACCGGGATTCGAACCCATAATCATAGGTTTCTGGCGTGCCCAAGGGATGCAACTCTGCACAGCGAATCGCGGCGCCTTAGACGACTGGGCTACCCATGCCCCCACAACGTATTTGAGACAAGTAGGATCACAGAACTTCCAAGGATTTGCTTGAATTTGGAATTCTTTGAACTCGATTTTCAACTGTTTACAGTACTAAACCGCAGGACAAAGTAAATGGAAAAGTCCTTCCTTGATACATGGGGCATTTGTTATTCATCATGGTGACAATATATATATATATATATATATATATATATAGAGAGAGAGAGAGAGAGAGAGAGAGAGAGAGAGAGAGAGAGAGAGAGAGACAGAGAGGATTCATCAAGAGTGTTTTAATATGGGAGATATCAACCGATTAACGGGACGAGGTTGATATTTCCCATATTAAAAAACACGAGTGATGAACTCTATTTATCATTTTCACATTTTTGCTTCCCTTTTAACATCAGCAACTTGTCGAAATCTTACGTATAGATGGTGCGTAGTGATACATGTTTTCCATAGCCGTGTGAAGTTACTGTGAACCAAAATAAAAAACTTCTTAACTCCTTTATGGCAAACTCCTTTGCTGAGAAAAAATTCCTGGGATTATTTTTAACAAAATACTTGAACAGACTTTTGCAGAATAATTGAAACTTTAATTACGGTAACAACAACGATTCTGCGTAATCTGTTGATATCTCTGGTGTAATTTCACATATATATAGTTTCAAATCAAACCGCTCTCTCACTTGAAGAATGTCTTGCGGAGGAGACGTCAGAGGATATGCACTAGTCTGTGTCACTATCACTTTAGTTGACAATCCGGCGTCTTTTAACTTGGACCGGGCTTGGAGGTTTAACGAGATTAATCGTTATGTTTCCACCAGTAATGTTGCCAGCAAACATAGTGTTAACACCACAAGAAACATTTATTATTTGAGACCGCTGACTGTGTTATCTACTGTCGATTTGGCAAGGGGCCGCTCTGCATGACGGGACTTTCATCAACAAACTGGGATGTCACAGTGTGGGATGAAGTGTTTCGTGAAATGATGTTGGATATTTGCTTGTGCGGATCCTCATTAATATGGCAGTAATTGTTCACGGAATGGATGTTTTTGTGGCCAGTTATATGCAATATTTGATTTGGCAGAACATTATTGTCATTCAACTTTTGCACAAGGTGTTTGCGAACAGAGTGATTTGTGAGTCGTTTTGATGTTTGGAGACTGGCGGCATCGCACATGTTTTTCATGAGAGAGTGAAGTTTGTTTTTCCCAATACGATAGCGGAAAAACCGCTGATCGCCAGCTTTAGGCATACCTAAAGTGTGTGTCGATGTAAAAGGGATCGTCATCTCGGCAGAAGTCGAGTCGACGCGTGGAGGCACACAACTTATACACCTGCACAGAGCACCGAGAGGGATCAGCACTATTAGACCACATTTTGGGCCTAACGTCGCGACAATCACGAGGATTCTCACCGGACCTATTCTTTTCTTGTCTCATGGACAGTTGAAGATATTCGTGATCGTATCCATCAACATGCAATGCGATGTCCAAACAGCACATGTTGTAGTGATCATTGACACCTCTTAACACGAAATGGATTGTGTTGTAGAGCCATAGACAGTATATGATGCTCATTGGATTACTGATTCCAATGGATCCGGACTGCCACAGGGACTCGACCTCTTCATCACCAATCGGGTCGGCTCTCCTTGGTAAGTTGCCGCGCCCTTCTTTCTTTAGTTCAATTTTTCTCCCCTTTAATACTTCCCGTGATCGTGAAAATTCTAAAGATGATGTGAGTGAATAGCCATACCCCCTTCGTTTTAGTGATCTCTCGATGCTGCTCCGTTGACTGTTTGGTTCATAATTTTCCCCATTTGTTTTTCGAACACTAATGAAAAACTTGCAGAGAAGTGTGTCTAGTTCGTTTGAGGGGATTTCATGCATTTGGCAAATTTCATTTTGGACTTTTAGAAGTTATCGCACAGTTACAAATCGTACAAGGTTTTCTTGTCTGTGTTTTTGTTCTGATTGTCTAGGATCACACCATCGATCATGCCGTCCCCAACAGCCACAAATCTACCTTGTTCATCTTTCGGCTTTGTGTTCGTCGTCTGTTTCGCCGTGATGGCGTTTTGATGATGAAACGTTGGCCACAGGGAAGTTTTGATAATCTGCCTTCATCACAGTCAAATTCAAATTCGGTGCCATCAACCTGTAACCTGTAATATCAATTTGTCAACACGGATATCACTTTAGCACTTCCCCTTTGATCTATCAAAACATTGTCTCGAACATCAAAGGTATCCATGTTGTTTGTAAACAACTACCGAAAAATATGCACCGGTGAAAAAAGTCCCACTTCCGGTTATCTAATTTGCATGTCTAATTTGCATACTCATGTCATTGGGGTATGACATACATGTTTTTATGTCATAAGATTATGTCATGGATAAATGCTTTAGTTGAATGATAAATAGAACATCTCTATGGTTCCGGCTTCAGCAACATTTGTCAAAACTGAAAGCAAATGTCACTGAAATGAACTGAGAAAACAATATGTGAAATGCTGATTTTGGTCTTTGATAAAATATATGTGAAACTTGGCAATAAGACATTGAGGAAAGAAGCGCTAATTGTACATTTATGCATTTGAAAAGGAATTTCAAAATCAAACAAGGGAATTTGGCTAACGTAAAGGTGGCGGTGTTTCAGTTTCAAACAGCCACTGAAAACATAAACACAACCCAGTGTCGAGAGAAGCATTTTTGATCACCGTACATAGACAAGATCGACAAAGGCCGTGAGAATGAGAACCCTTGGATACCACAAATCAAACGTCGACGAGTTTTCAGTAGTTTTATAATAAAAACTGGAATTGGTCGTGTTTGAGCATCTGCATCAATAACAGTGGGCGGAGGTTATTTCATGCTGTGCTATAAAATTTTAATAGCAAGCCACATGGCATTGTGAACATGGGACATATTCGATGTATTCAAGATCAAAATGTATTGTGGTATATATATTTACCAATGATTAGTATCACAGCAGTTTCGGTACATGTATCACTAACGATACATAAATACGAAATTGATGTCTGCATAAGTATTGGCGACACGAGTCTTTCTGTTCACTCGAAAACGGTCTATTGGTATTTGTTTAATTCTTGTTACTTGCATTGAACATTCATTATATAACACAATGATCAGATTATCTTTTTAACCTCAAGTAACAGACATTGCCGGTCAATCAGTGTTTTGGAAAAGGCAGAATAGCAATAATTAAGTTACAAATCAATTGGCAGTCTATTATCAAATGAGGGGGCACGGGTGGCCCAGTCGTCTAAAGCGCCGCGATTCGCTGTGCAGAGTTGCGTCCCTTGGGCACGCCAGAAACCTATGATTGTGGGTTCGAATCCCGGTTCGCCCCAATTATGTTTCTAGGTTTGTCAGCACCATACCCGTGCTCGTGGGTTCCACCGAAGTGGTAAAGGTCTGAAACCTGCATCACTTCGGGCTTTCCTCCCACATTAAGCTGACACGCCGTGATATAACTCGAATAATGTTAAAAGCGGCGTTTAACCCGACTCACTCACTCACTCACTCCATTGTCAAATGACAGTGACACCAGATACTGACATGCCGCTGACGCTCTGGATGTGTCCTTCGTGTGATAATGGTTGACTGAACATCATTCCTGTAACAAACGCACATACCTGTGCTCTCGGGTAGGCCCATCAATCATTCTTAACGTATACGAAAGCTCATGGGTCGGATGGAATCAATATAACAGATTAAACAATGACATTACAGTGACATTAAGTTTTTATATCAATTTACACTATTGGTACAACCCATTGTGGTTGTAATAGTGTAATAAATAATTAGGTGATATTCGCGTGATGATATTAGGAGCATGACGTCTTTTGGATTGTTTGTTAGTATTGTCCTTGATCGATTCCTGAAACTGATTTATTCACTTGGTAAAACGCATTTGTGACGCCATTCTCTTCAAACCGCTCCACTGCGTTTCAAGTAGTTCAATCAATCAACCAGTACTATTTGCAGTATGATGACAAAAGGCACATATACAAATAACAATATACAAGTATAGTCGTGACAATTTACATAATTTTTAACGGTATACATGAACAGTGGAAAAGTAGAGATCTGGTACATGTACATTAGTACAGATTGTACCATGGCATTCCTCCCACACAGCACTGCATGTGAGACCATATTTCTGGCAAGTGCATCTTCGTGTGTTACAGTTTTTGTTTGCAGTTACAGCAGATGATGCCAAGGAGTGCTGAAGGTGACGCAGGCTGGTCTGTCTATATTGGTAAGCTCCGTCCATCCATCATGTGCCATCCCCACTCCACTAGATTCATATTGAACCCTTTACACTCCATTATCTGGTAGTAGACACAGGGGCTGTGGTATCCTGCGGCTGCAGAGGTTGGTGGCAGAGTTTGTCTCTCTACGTGTTCTTCGTCATCTTCCAACAAAAGAGCTTGTACCGTAAGTTACCCAGTTCCTCCTCCTTACATCCGCCATATGAAGACAAAAGTGCATGTTCCCCTGTTTCAGTGGTGACTTTTTCATTCCAAGTTTCTTCTGTAAGGCTGAACATTTTAGTAGCCTGATAGTGGAACTATGCATCATTCAGGATCTTCTTCAATGCTAGACCCTTTCCCAAGCCAAATAGTCGATAAGTGGTGTCTCAACCAACAACTGTATGTAACAAAGGGAACATGCTCACATACGGCATTGCCCAGAGCTGCTTCGATTGTTTCATGCACCAAATTCTGCCCCTTCTTAAAGGTTGCTTGGGTTCGGGTACCAGGAACAAGTCATGTGCTTCCATTTCAACATGAGGGAGGAGGATGGGCAAATCTGCGTCCTCTCCCACCAGGACAGTGTCTTTATTCTTGCAGATGTGACAGCATTTTGTTTGGCATGGACTGTGCTGCACCAAACTCTTTCCAGTTTGTCATCCAGACAAGCAATAAAGGGCTGTTTGTTTTTGCGTTGTTCAAGAATTCTTCCTTCTACGATTTAATGACCAATCCCCCCGTTCTTCTCATGTGCGTGGCATCTTTCGTTGATGGATCACCATTGTGGCCATTAAAGACAATATTTTGTACAACATATAGAAGGTATAAAGTTCACACACATGATATAATGTAGAACCTCTTGGTCAGGATAGCCGGTGAAGTAGAGCTCCACCATCAAGAATACACTGGACATTTCCAGGTTCTCATTGTGTCACTTGGATGGTTTTCCAGACAGCGTCAGCAAAGGTTGCCTTACTGGCCTGCAGGGCAAGGGAGGATGATTCAAACAATGCTGGTGGGAGACTATAGATTTCATCTTGAACAAGACTGGTAGATAGATCTTGTATTGTACTGATGTGACAGCTTATTTCACAAGGGAAATGTATATTCAATTGAAGAAGGAAGCATTCTTGAACAACACAAACACTCAAACGGCACTTTATTGCCCATCTGGGTGATAAACGTGATAGAGCTGGGTGCGGCATGCAAAAGAGGCGAACATTAACTGGCAGATGTAAGGAGGGAGGAGTGGATAGTTGACGGTACAAGCTATTTTAGGAGGTGACGAAGAACCTACCACATGGAGAGCCACAGACTCTTGTCACCAATCTCTACAGCCAGAAGATACCACATACCCTGTGTCTACTGCCAGCTAATTGAGGGGAAGGGATCAGTATTGGTGTTGAAATCACAGTTGTTATGTGAGCGTATTAGTGTTGAAACTGTAGCTTTTGGGTAAGGGCGTTAGGGTTGGAATCATGTCTTGAGTACAAAACCCCCCTGACGATAATTATGATGAAAATACGGTTAAAACAATAATCATCACCAGCGAATGAACACCAGACAAACCAACAAACAGACAGTAATCGTCTATGGCCAGAGTACACAGTGACGTGAGTTATGCGTTTCTCAACTTCTTTGACATGGCTTTGAATGAAGGCTAAGCGGCCTTAAACGTTATATCACCAAACATTTCACGCTTCATCTAATGCACATGGACTTCTAGAATTGCTTCTCGTCCCTTTTCTGGCCTGGATTCACCTGACCCTTGTTTGGTCGGAAAGGCCTTGTGCATAGATGGAGCACTACGTCCAGGATGAGTTCCAGGATCTCGGCCAGGGTGAGGAGGGAGAAGCCCAGCCAGAGTCCAGCCTGTCCGCCGACATCAGACAACAGACTCTTCCACTGGAATACAGACAGGAGGAGATATAATTATATCGACGTCAGACAACAGACTCTTCCACTTGAATACAGACAGGATGATATATAATTATATCGACGTCAGACAACAGACTCTTCCACTGGAATACAGACAGGAGGAGATATAATTATATTGACATCAGACAACAGGCTCTTCCACTGGAATACAGACAGGAGGAGATATAATTATATCGACGTCAGACAACAGACTCTTCCACTGGAATACAGACAGGATGATATATAATTATATCGACGTCAGACAACAGACTCTTCCACTGGAATACAGACAGGAGGAGATATAATTATATTGACATCAGACAACAGGCTCTTCCACTGGAATACAGACAGGAGGAGATATAATTATATCGACGTCACACAACAGACTCTTCCACTGGAATACAGGCAGGAGGAGATATAATTATATCGACGTCACACAACAGACTCTTCCGCTGGAATACAGACAGGAGGAGATATAATTATATCGACGTCACACAACAGACTCTTCCACTGGAATACAGACAGGAGGAGATATAATTATATCGACGTCACACAACAGACTCTTCCACTGGAATACAGACAGGAGGAGATATAATTATATTGACATCGGACAACAGGCTCTTCCACTGGAATACAGACAGGAGGAGATATAATTATATCGACGTCACACAACAGACTCTTCCACTGGAATACAGACAGGAGGAGATATAATTATATCGACGTCACACAACAGACTCTTCCACTGGAATACAGACAGGAGGAGATATAATTATATTGACATCAGACAACAGGCTCTTCCACTGGAATACAGACAGGAGGAGATATAATTATATCGACGTCACACAACAGACTCTTCCCCTGGAATACAGACAGGGGGAAGATATAATTATATAGACATCAGACAACAGACTCTACTCTTTTGGAAAAAAACATGTAACATCTATCTTCATTCGTTCGTTATAGTGTATGATTAAGACACAGGCAGCTCTTCAGAAATGGGTTCTTCTGAAGAGATGTCATGAGACAGCGAAAGTACTATGTGTTAAACATATATAAAGAAGATGATGGACTAACGTGGACTTAATTATTTTACTATAGATTACATGTACACCGAGTGAACATTTACCTCATACATTTACCTCATATATATATATATATATATATATATATATATATATATATATATATATATATATATATTGTGATTTAGGCGCATGTTATGTAGTTATAAAAACACCTGTGTATATTCCTAGAAGGAACAGATCCCCAGTACACCATGCTCGTCATATGCACCTACTAAAATGTTATATGGTTGCAGTGTGTGACCTGGTGTATTCCGTGTGGCATCGTACCCTGAGGCCAGGAATCAGGTTATTATTCACATACAGACATGTTTAGCAAGGGACTGTGATGTTGGTTGGTTTGTTGGTTTGTTGGTTTGTTGTTTAACGCCGCACTCAGCAATATTCCAGCTAAATGACGGCGGTCTGTAAATAATCGAGTCTGGACCAGACAATCCAGTGATTGATATCATGAGCATCGATCCACGCAATTGGGATCGATGAAATGCATCAACCAAATCAGCGAGCCTGACCACCCGATCCCATTTGTCGCCGACAAGCATAGTCGCCTTTTACGGCAAGCATGGGTTGCTGAAGACCTATTCTACCCCGGATCTTCACGGGTGACTGTGATGTTGTCGGAATATGCAGGGTAAACAATTTTTTTACTTATCTACACTATTTATTACAGGTTATTTTCTTGCTCGCTCGCTCACTCACTCACTCTACTCACGTCGTATGCCGGCTTCGTTTGTATCTTCTGATAGTTCAGATCCTTGTAGAAGACGTTTAACTTCATGACGTTTCTCCTAAATAAACGTCCTTTAGTGAATATGAAGTGGTCGATTTCCCTCACACATGTGTAGAAAATCATTAAAAACATTAAAAAACGCTAAAAGTAGCACGATAATGTAACCCTCGTTTTGGCAATTAGCCACGCTTGAAATGTGCGCTCGAATGACTGTCTTTATATTCATAATCCATTGAAATAAATGACACAATTTATCACGAACTAAAATACATGTTTACAATATACGAGGGTAGTCTGACTCGAAGATGGCGTTGGAAGTTCCGTCCCTGCCTTAGCTGAATCTACTATTAGTAGCCGTAGGCCCATAATAAACTGACGACCAAGAGAAACTCTACCAGTTTAGAAATTTAATTGCAAATACGTATAAACACAAGTTCAAACTTAATCAAAACAAAACACATCGTCCAAACACAGCAATACTCTACGCAGAAACTGATACATGACACGTTTTTATTTTTTTTTTCTGCAGAAAATGCGAAAACGTGATAAACGGTGCCGAAACTACATAGGGGCGACATGTCAGAACCACACACTGATAAAAAAAAAAAACCCACAGAAATGCCACTACTGACACCCGAACAACGCGAGCGGACACTGGCTATGATACAGATTAGAAACACCCATGCCCACATTGCTAGAACTTTTGGTTGCTCCCGTGAGGCTGCGGCTAACCTGATGCAACTTTACAGACAGACCGGGCAGACCCAGGGTAACTCCGCCCAATGGAGACCAGTTTTTGCGTACTTTGCAACTCCGAATTCGATTCCTGACGGTGACGTCATCAGCGACGAATGCCTTAGGGCAGTCGACAGGCAGTGGCCAGGCGACTCAGGGGTCAAGAAATTAGGGCTTACAAACATTACAAAGAACAGTTATTGACAGCGCAACAGCGTCGTTTGAGATTGAGATGGGCCCGGACTTGCGGAGGGTCGTCTTTACTGATGAAAGTCGGTTCTGTCTGCCCAGAGTTGATGGAAGGCAGCGTGTTTACCTCCGAAGGTGAAAAAATGCGACGGCATTTTGCGTTCAGTAGGTTGTGCCGTATGGTGAAGGGTGTTATGGTCTGGGGAGGAATTTGTGGGCAGGAGAGACCACCGTCATCGTTAAAGGAAATTTGACAGAAAAGCGTTACACAGGCGACATTCTTCGTCCGATTGTCCTACCATTGCTAAAACAGCTGCCACGTCGTATTCTTTAACAGCGTGACAATGCAAGACCCTATGTAGCCCTAATTGTACAGAACTACCTTGCAGCCAACAACGTCAACATGTTGCTCCCCAGACATGTCCCCCATAGAACACCTCTGGTATATCATGGATCGGGCCCATAACTACCCCAGACCCTCCAAGAGGAATGGCGACGTATCCACTGACTTTTCTGTTTGCCGGAGAGATTTTGCGCGTTGTGTATCAGGGCGTGGTCATGAACGCTATTTAGGTAACGTGTCATTGAACTTGGGCGATTCGGGCATCTGTCATGCCAATATCGGATGCTGTGTGTCATTTTAAATGTTGATTTCGTTTAGATTTTGATCTTTTCAATACATTTTACTTCATGCATCTATCGTTGGTGTTTTTAACTAGAGCGATATTAAACTATGGTCAAGTTTCTTTTGGCCGCCAGTTCATACATATACATGCAGTTGTCATCTCTCAGGCGAAAAGAATGCTAAGTTTCCTTTCCGGTCTTTTCATTTTTTTTTTATCCAGATGCTACACCTCCTCCAACGTATTTCATATTTTCACATTTAATAAAGCTTTAACATAATTCAAGATTTGTTTTACCCATTAAAAACTTACTCGTTTATCTAACCTTGTTTCCTGTCATTTTCATACTTGGGGCAGTTTACAAGAACCTTAAAATACTGACTATTTTACCTTTCACCTTTTGGTTTTTGAATGGGACATTATTTCAATGTACCCTGCTGCCAAATTCCAAACAAATTGTGATATGCTGACGGTATTGCGAGTACATAGAATCATCGACCGGCTTACAAAAATGTCGGGTAGTCAGTATTCGTGACCTAACGCCTGGACCTCACCCCAACCCTCACTGACCTTGACCTAAATCCTGACGTTGAGATTGGCCTTAGTATATATTACGCACCTGAAGAAGGTATCTTTTTCAGCTGCTGATGCATGCTTGTCAATAGGCTGTGCACCTTGCTTATTCTCGAAGCCCCTGATGAGTCCATCTACCAGCCTGGTAAGACGATTACTGGCTGGCCACATGGCTGTCGAGATCTCCATCTGATGGGTATCCTCTCTGAATCAAGCAACAGTTGCGTGATATTGTTCAACATGTTTTTAACATGTCAAGATATTATACACGACGCATTTAATTGCATGTGATATCACAGAACACATCGTAAGGTTGGTGGTTATATTTAACATAATGTGATATCCCACAACACATAGTAAGGTTCGTTGCTATATTTAATATAATGTGATATCACACACCACATCGTAAGGGTGGTGGCTATATTTAATGTAATATGCTATCACAGAACACATCGTAAGGTTGGTGTCTATAGCTAACATCATGTGATATTACAGTGAAGTCCTGGTGTTTGGTTGATAAGATTTGGAAATGTGATGGCCAAGGAATTTAACTGGTGTTCTGAGAGGGCTGATCATGATTTGCTGTCTGCTTTGGCTGTTGAGGAAGTATTTACTCACCAACTTCTAGAATGCCATAGTAAGGTTGTTGGGTATATGTAACATAATGTAATATAACAGAATACATAATGAGGTTGTGGAATATATTTAACATAATATCATAGAACATGGGATGGAGAAGGATTGGAGCAGATAGTACACAGAAGACAGCAGATGGTATTCAGAAGTAAGAAGAAAAGACACATGAGACAGCTGTGAGGACACAGAAGACATCAGGATGTAAACAGAAGACAGAGGACACTACACAGAAGACAGCAGCGACTACACGGTACACAGAAGACAGAGGACACCACACAGAAGACAGCTGCGAGTACACAGAAGACAACAGGATGTAAACAGAAGACATAGAAGACAGAGGACACTACACAGAAGACAGCAGCGACTACACGGTACACAGAAGACAGAGGACACCACACAGAAGACAGCTGCGAGTACACAGAAGACAACAGGATGTAAACAGAAGACAGTACATAGTACATCATATTAAAAAGACAACAGACAGTACACAGAAGACTGCAGACTGTAGATAATACATTACAAGTACTTTATGTTGTCTTCTGTTCACATTCTGTTATCTTCTGTGTACACACACATTGGACAACAAAAAGACAGAAGACTGAAAACTGAAGGCAACAAATTGTACACATTACACATAAAACAGCCCACTGTACACAGACGACAACGGACAGTTCAAAGAAGACAGCAGACAGTTTAAAGAAGACAGCAGACAGTTTAAAGAAGACAGCAGACAGAATACATGTGACAGAGGACAACACACGAACAACAGAAAGTAGACGTGTACAGTACACTGGAGACAACAGACAGCAGCAACACTGATCGCAGCAACCTACTTGCAGTTTGGGTAACAGCTGTCTGGACAAACTCTCTGTTCATTGTCCAGCTCATCCAGAACCTCTTCTGCACATGACTCTGGAACAGATCTCCACCAATTATCATTTATGTGAAGGAAACGTGCAAACATCCCGAGGGACTCGGTTTAACGTTCTCGCATTTCGCACACTCTACATGTTAAATCATCGATTCTTATTCCATAATAATATGTCTATCATGTCCCGAGGTTTCAAATTTCAAAACTCATTCGTTCTTTACCTGATGAAGGAGAAAGTTTATACTGGAAACATTGTGTTCCTCATAATAAAGAAGTTGACATCCATAAATCCTCTCTTTTGTGTATCACTTCCAACTGACTTGACAGTTGTTGTATCTCCATTCTACAATGACGGCAAGCGCGCTTTAAAATCGGTGCTCTCTTGGAATGCGTACATACACAGGGGCAATTAGGCCAGCTATATTAGAATCTGTATTAGATGTTGTGACAAAGATAAAACATATTACTCAAGTTTAAAATAACTTAATTATATTCTTGACTAGTTTAAAATTAAGATTACAAAATACATAAGTTTTCAAAACGAATTGATGAAATAACCCTCCATAGTACAGATAAATATTTATAGCATTCAAGTCATTTCTTGGAAATCAACATGTCGTATCTGATCATAGGGGTGACAAGTTGCAGATATAGTGAAAATAAATGCTGACGTGATTTAGTTTAGAAGGCTGTAAGTTGTACCTGTGTATCAGTTGGTTTGAAATACCTCCCCAACAGTAATACATTTTAAGAATCTCTCCACCCTGAATCTCGACTGACTGCACTTGACTTACTTCCGTCACTTCTCACAGTCATTGGTTGGCAAACTAGTTGTTCACGGTGACAGTGCTGTTTACAAATTGCATAAACACCGAGGATAATTCCGATCTGTAGTTGTGTTCAACATTAACCGGATGATTAACTGGTGGTAATGACCCTACTGGCACAACCATTGCCAACGGAAACATCCTGAAGTATGTCTGAATACCGCCGATTTTTAGCTGAAGACATGCTGGCCCTGTGAGACAGAATGATTAGTGTATGTTTTACTTAATTGTATGTATTCTGAAAAGGATTTCTTCATGTTTGATAGGCTGTTGTGACCAAGTGTTTGTTCAGCGCAACAGTGAGTGACAAAACGTCTGATAATAATCTGATCTGATCGATCAAAATAAAACAAAATGATTTATATGCAGCCATTCTTATGTGCTTTCGATTCAGATCGATGTTTTCATTCGCAGTTTTTTGTGTCAAAAGGCATGTTAATTTTGAGGTATCAAATGTAGTTCGATTCATGATTTAATCTTATTTGTATCAATCAGAAAGCCTTCTTCAGTGTCAAATACGGACAAAAACATCGTCAGCAGCCACCAACCAATTGGAATCACTACTTTAAAATCAGTATGGATGCTGCTGAAGCATATACAAAAAAGTGGCCCAAAAGACAATATCAACCTGTTAAATGTCTTTCCAGTGCATGATATTGTCATCGTTAGAATGCACAAACAGAAAAGAAGAAACAGAACTGGAATAAAACGATTCCGCCGCGACAGCTGTCATCCAAAGTCTGTCTGCCCTACATTACCACTTTGTAGTTGTTACAACTGACAAGGTCTCAAATAACATAACCATTATATGTAATCATCATTGCATTAATTGTTTGACCAAAGAATTTGGTGAAAGTGACAGGTCAAATAATGACACATATAAGGCCAATATGTTAACTGAGGAAAAATCTGCACCTTTGACTTGACTCTAGAACCTGAACACCTGTCCATGCCAGGCTTGAACTGGATTCCAAAACTCCATAAAAATCCGTAAAAAGAGAGAGATATTGCTCTTTAAAAAAGTTATATGATATACATGTGGAGGACTTTTCCAAATTTTACGCATCACTGGCAAAAATGATGTCCGATGCCGTTCCCTCTATTGACCCGTACCACATGTTCCCATGTTGTAGATTTTTTTGTGTTTTTTTTGTTAGGTGAGTTGCTGTATGGTTAAAATAATGCTGGTTGCCTAGACATCTGGATTGCCTGGACTAAAGGTCTCCAAGCCTTTGGGTATAACTCGATGACTATCATACAAACACTGATGAATCCATACCGTTCCAAAAATATGAGAATGTCGCATTTATGACAATGGCGTCGTTAATACTTTCAGTGAGTGAGTGAGTTGGGTTAAACGCCGCTTTTAACAGTATTCCAGTTATATCGCGGCGTGTCAGCTTCATGTGGGAGGAAAGCCCGAAGACATACAGGTCTCAGACGTTTACCACTTCGGTGAAACCCACGAGCACGGGTATGGTGCTGACAAACCTAAAAACATAACCGGGATTCGAACCCACAATCATAGGTTTCTGGCGTGCCCAAGAGACTCAGCTCTGCACAGCGAATCGCGGCGCCTTAGACGACGGGGCCACCCGTGCCCCCTAATACATTCAGAAATATGAAGAAAGGCGCAACGGAAGCCTGGTGCTCTGAAGTCACACCAAAGACTCACGCCGCCGCCATATACCAGGAATATTGCTGAGTGCGGCGTCAAACAACAAATAAAACAAGAACAAAAACTAACACAGGGACGCAATATGTGAAACTAAGTATTACTCTCCCTATAGACAAAACGGTGCTCACTATCGTGTGGCGTAAAATACCATCCGCCCAATGAGGAGGACATTTTCAAATAACGCTGTTTTCTAATGTACCTTTCGTTTCGCCTTTAAGGCTACAAAACCGGACTGCGGAGGTGATGCTGGAGTTGATGATCCCGAGGGCGGCAGGGTTGCAGGGGTAGATGTTGTAACAGCAGTCGCACAGTGACACCAGTATCTTCTGCACACACGTCTTCTTGCACGTCTGAGTAGAAACAACAAGTTACATGTCACCATAGCAACCAGGTCCGCTTTCAGTCTAGGTTTTTATCTCATAAATTAAAAAATAATATTAATCATTAAAAGTTTAATTGGCTGATGTCGCCCTTTGTGGTGCCTTCTACCAGCTAAGATTAATCTGGGATTCGAACACTATATCATTGGATCCTGGCACGGCTCCCAATAACTCACCTCTGCAATAATTAGTGTTATTTCACAGATTAGCTGCTCCAGGTAAACCCAAGTCTTGAGACAGCGTCACCAACAGCAGATACGACGAAATACATATAACGATTTAACGTCACGCTAAGATTGACCGCTCAGCAATCCCGTATTATAGAAACGTGCTGCCTGATATGTATCAGATAATAAAATGTGTCATCCATTCAGTCAAAGATTCATTTTGTTAAATGTTTAGACATTTCATGTCAACGCCCCCACCTTATCGCTATAGGTGATGTTAGGCACCTGGGTGGTGAATATATTGGGCGGTTCTTCTACCCCCGGTCCGTAGAGCTTGCAGTTACCGTAGGGGGCCGGGACACGCTCCACGGTGACCTGACAATATGAAAGGTTGTTGGAGGATGAGACAAATCAAACCCAAATCGTACTACCTTAATTTAATTTAGGTTAACCGGTTCGTTTGCGCACCTTACCTTTTGTTTTCATAGTTATTGAGTGAGTTGTGTGATATGAGTAATAGTCCAACTATGTCAAGAAAACAACGATCTTGTCGCATTGTATTAATGTAAGGAATCGAACCCATGCAATCCCCAATCCAACTCTTTAACCATGCGAACACTCCTGTGACATACAGGACAGACTATATGAAGCGCTGCCTTTCCACCCAAAAACAAAAGCGACAAAAACCCTTTCCACACCCACAAGAAATTTCTGTCAAAAAAAGAGTCGACTGCACGATTCCGACCACATTATAAGCATGTGCCAATGAATGATAAATAATAGTGATGATACTAGGTGTTCGCAAAAAGGTGAGCGTAACCTGCCCAACCGGAAGCCACAGGGAGCCATACCGGATACCATCTCCTCCACCGACGTGCCAAACACGGAACGTCACCCACACGCCTACCACAAAACCCTCTGAAAGCTCAACTGAAGCCCCGAATGCTGTAACCTCAATTAAACAAGCTCAGAGCAAGAACCGCATGACGCTTCCTGGCGTTCTGGCAGAAAGAGTACGCCCAACTGCACCCCAAAAGTTGTGAGATACAGATACCAAGAGCTGGCGCTGCAGAAACATTGCTCGTCATGAAGGAAAGGTTGAACACTGGAAAGCTGAAGTCATCCCTCTTGTCATACAGTCTTGAGGAGAGTGTTTTGTCACTTTGAATCTTTATGCTACATCAAAATATGAAAACAGATGATGCGGTCTCCTTAGGCTCCGTTATTTCTACTTCAGATGGGTAAATCAGTGGAATGGAATTGGCTATTGGATGGTCATTGAACGATATCAGATCTTTGATATAGCCGAAGCTTAAGTAAAACTTCTTAAAAACGTCAAATTACCCTTTTTTGACTTTGCCAATCCGAACAGAAATTCCGGCTCAAATGCCTAAAGAATCAAATCAGCAAGAAGGAGGGAGGGGGCACAATAGGTGCCCATGGGGAAGCCAACCCATGCCGAATTCCCCACCCCGAACAATTCCACATATATGGTTCCAATGAGGAAGTTCAGCATCCCACACGCTGCCCTTTCAGCAAAATAGACCTTCAAGGCATCTGAATCTCGTGCTAAAAAATAGTGATTACACCACGTGTTCTCTATATTGTCCAAAGAATATCCATCCCAGGGAGGTCAAGGTCACCGTACAGTTCGTCCTAACGCTGCATATATCTTCACCTTGGTGACGCCGGCGGATGTGGCAAAGCCGGGACTTATGTCGAACCCCTCGTCCTCAGGGAATGGCATGGTATCTGGGCTGTGGACGACTACCTTGAAGCCCACACCGCTGCTAAAGCTTGAGATATACTCCGCCTCCTCCACGTATAGCATCATAGATAGACCTGTGGGAAAACAAATAGCATCAGAACAGACAGCATCAGGGATAGACCTGTGGAAAACAGACAGCAATGGTGATAGACCGTTGGGGATACAGACACCATCAGAGGCATGATTGAGGGAACACAGACAACATCAGAGACAAAATTGAGGGAACACAGACAGCATCAGAGACAGAATTGAGGGAACACAGACACCATCAGAGACAGAATTGAGGGAACACAGACACCATCAGAGACAGAATTGAGGGAACGCAGACACCATCAGAGACAGAATTGAGGGAACACAGAGTGCATCAGAGACAGAATTGAGGGAACACAGAGTGCATTAGAGACAGAATTGAGGGAACACAGACACTATCAGAGACAGAATTGAGGGAACACAGACAGCATCAGAGACAGAATTGAGGGAACACAGACACCATCAGAGACAGAATTGAGGGAACACAGACACCATCAGAGACAGAATTGAGGGAACGCAGACACCATCAGAGACAGAATTGAGGGAACACAGACACCATCAGAGACAGAATTGAGGGAACGCAGACACCATCAGAGACAGAATTGAGGGAACACAGACACCATCAGAGACAGAATTGAGGGAACACAGACAACATCAGAGACAGAATTGAGGGAACACAGAGAGCATCAGAGACAGAATTGAGGGAACACAGACACCATCAGAGACAGAATTGAGGGAACACAGACACCATCAGAGACAGAATTGAGGGAACGCAGACACTATCAGAGACAGAATTGAGGGAACGCAGACACCATCAGAGACAGAATTGAGGGAACACAGACACCATCAGAGACAGAATTGAGGGAACACAGACACCATCAGAGACAGAATTGAGGGAACACAGAGTGCATCAGAGACAGAATTGAGGGAACACAGACACCATCAGAGACAGAATTGAGGGAACACAGAGTGTATCAGAGACAGAATTGAGGGAACGCAGACACCATCAGAGACAGAATTGAGGGAACACAGACACCATCAGAGACAGAATTGAGGGAACGCAGACACCATCAGAGACAGAATTGAGGGAACACAGACACCATCAGAGACAGAATTGAGGGAACACAGACACCATCAGAGACAGAATTGAGGGAACACAGAGTGCATCAGAGACAGAATTGAGGGAACACAGACACCATCAGAGACAGAATTGAGGGAACACAGACACCATCAGAGACAGAATTGAGGGAACGCAGACACTATCAGAGACAGAATTGAGGGAACGCAGACACCATCAGAGACAGAATTGAGGGAACACAGACACCATCAGAGACAGAATTGAGGGAACACAGACACCATCAGAGACAGAATTGAGGGAACACAGAGTGCATCAGAGACAGAATTGAGGGAACAGAGACAGAATTGAGGGAACACAGAGTGCATCAGAGACAGAATTGAGGGAACACAGACACCATCAGAGACAGAATTGAGGGAACACAGACAACATCAGAGACAGAATTGAGGGAACACAGAGAGCATCAGAGACAGAATTGAGGGAACACCGACACCATCAGAGACAGAATTGAGGGAACACAGACACCATCAGAGACAGAATTGAGGGAACGCAGACACTATCAGAGACAGAATTGAGGGAACGCAGACACCATCAGAGACAGAATTGAGGGAACACAGACACCATCAGAGACAGAATTGAGGGAACACAGACACCATCAGAGACAGAATTGAGGGAACACAGAGTGCATCAGAGACAGAATTGAGGGAACACAGACACCATCAGAGACAGAATTGAGGGAACACAGAGTGTATCAGAGACAGAATTGAGGGAACACAGACACCATCAGAGACAGAATTGAGGGAACACAGAGTGCATCAGAGACAGAATTGAGGGAACACAGACAGCATCAGAGACAGAATTGAGGGAACACAGACACCATCAGAGACAGAATTGAGGGAACACAGAGAGCATCAGAGACAGAATTGAGGGAACACAGACACCATCAGAGACAGAATTGAGGGAACACAGACACCATCAGAGACAGAATTTAGGGAACGCAGACACTATCAGAGACAGAATTGAGGGAACGCAGACACCATCAGAGACAGAATTGAGGGAACACAGACACCATCAGAGACAGAATTGAGGGAACACAGAGTGCATCAGAGACAGAATTGAGGGAACACAGAGTGCATCAGAGACAGAATTGAGGGAACACAGACACCATCAGAGACAGAACTGAGGGAACACAGAGTGTATCAGAGACAGAATTGAGGGAACACAGAGTGTATCAGAGACAGAATTGAGGGAACACAGACACCATCAGAGACAGAGTTGAGGTAACGCAGACACTATCAGAGACAGAACTGAGGGAACACAGAGTGTATCAGAGACAGAGTTGGGGGAACACAGAGTGCATCAGAGACAGAATTGAGGGAACACAGAGTGCATCAGAGACAGAGTTGAGGGAACGCAGACACCATCAGAGGCAGAATTGAGGGAACACAGAGTGCATCAGAGACAGAATTGAGGGAACACAGAGTGCATCAGAGACAGAATTGAGGGAACACAGACACCATCAGAGACAGAATTGAGGGAACACAGAGTGTATCAGAGACAGAATTGAGGGAACACAGAGTGTATCAGAGACAGAATTGAGGGAACACAGACACCATCAGAGACAGAATTGAGGGAACACAGAGTGCATCAGAGACAGAATTGAGGGAACACAGACACCATCAGAGACAGAGTTGAGGTAACGCAGACACTATCAGAGACAGAACTGAGGGAACACAGAGTGTATCAGAGACAGAGTTGGGGGAACACAGACACCATCAGAGACAGAATTGACGGAACACAGAGTGCATCAGAGACAGAGTTGAGGGAACGCAGACACCATCAGAGGCAGAATTGAGGGAACACAGAGTGCATCAGAGACAGAATTGAGGGAACACAGAGTGCATCAGAGACAGAATTGAGGGAACACAGACACCATCAGAGACAGAATTGAGGGAACACAGAGTGTATCAGAGACAGAATTGAGGGAACACAGAGTGTATCAGAGACAGAATTGAGGGAACACAGACACCATCAGAGACAGAATTGAGGGAACACAGAGTGCATCAGAGACAGAATTGAGGGAACACAGACACCATCAGAGACAGAGTTGAGGTAACGCAGACACTATCAGAGACAGAACTGAGGGAACACAGAGTGTATCAGAGACAGAGTTGGGGGAACACAGACACCATCAGAGACAGAATTGACGGAACACAGAGTGCATCAGAGACAGAGTTGAGGGAACGCAGACACCATCAGAGGCAGAATTGAGGGAACACAGAGTGCATCAGAGACAGAATTGAGGGAACACAGAGTGCATCAGAGACAGAATTGAGGGAACACAGACACCATCAGAGACAGAATTGAGGGAACACAGAGTGTATCAGAGACAGAATTGAGGGAACACAGAGTGTATCAGAGACAGAATTGAGGGAACACAGACACCATCAGAGACAGAATTGAGGGAACACAGAGTGCATCAGAGACAGAATTGAGGGAACACAGACACCATCAGAGACAGAGTTGAGGTAACGCAGACACTATCAGAGACAGAACTGAGGGAACACAGAGTGTATCAGAGACAGAGTTGGGGGAACACAGACACCATCAGAGACAGAATTGAGGGAACACAGACACCATCAGAGACAGAATTGAGGGAACGCAGACACTATCAGAGACAGAATTGAGGGAACGCAGACACCATCAGAGACAGAATTGAGGGAACACAGACACCATCAGAGACAGAATTGAGGGAACGCAGACACTATCAGAGACAGAATTGAGGGAACGCAGACACCATCAGAGACAGAATTGAGGGAACACAGACAACATCAGAGACAGAATTGAGGGAACACAGAGAGCATCAGAGACAGAATTGAGGGAACACAGACACCATCAGAGACAGAATTGAGGGAACACAGACACCATCAGAGACAGAATTGAGGGAACGCAGACACTATCAGAGACAGAATTGAGGGAACGCAGACACCATCAGAGACAGAATTGAGGGAACACAGACACCATCAGAGACAGAATTGAGGGAACACAGACACCATCAGAGACAGAATTGAGGGAACGCAGACACTATCAGAGACAGAATTGAGGGAACGCAGACACCATCAGAGACAGAATTGAGGGAACACAGACACCATCAGAGACAGAATTGAGGGAACGCAGACACTATCAGAGACAGAATTGAGGGAACGCAGACACCATCAGAGACAGAATTGAGGGAACACAGACAACATCAGAGACAGAATTGAGGGAACACAGAGAGCATCAGAGACAGAATTGAGGGAACACAGACACCATCAGAGACAGAATTGAGGGAACACAGACACCATCAGAGACAGAATTGAGGGAACGCAGACACTATCAGAGACAGAATTGAGGGAACGCAGACACCATCAGAGACAGAATTGAGGGAACACAGACACCATCAGAGACAGAATTGAGGGAACACAGACACCATCAGAGACAGAATTGAGGGAACACAGAGTGCATCAGAGACAGAATTGAGGGAACACAGACACCATCAGAGACAGAATTGAGGGAACACAGAGTGTATCAGAGACAGAATTGAGGGAACGCAGACACCATCAGAGACAGAATTGAGGGAACACAGACACCATCAGAGACAGAATTGAGGGAACACAGACACCATCAGAGACAGAATTGAGGGAACACAGACACCATCAGAGACAGAATTGAGGGAACACAGACACCATCAGAGACAGAATTGAGGGAACACAGACACCATCAGAGACAGAATTGAGGGAACACAGACACCATCAGAGACAGAATTGAGGGAACACAGAGTGTATCAGAGACAGAATTGAGGGAACGCAGACACCATCAGAGACAGAATTGAGGGAACACAGACACCATCAGAGACAGAATTGAGGGAACACAGACACCATCAGAGACAGAATTGAGGGAACACAGACAACATCAGAGACAGAATTGAGGGAACACAGAGTGCATCAGAGACAGAATTGAGGGAACACAGACAACATCAGAGACAGAATTGAGGGAACACAGAGTGCATCAGAGACAGAATTGAGGGAACAGAGACAGAATTGAGGGAACACAGAGTGCATCAGAGACAGAATTGAGGGAACACAGACACCATCAGAGACAGAATTGAGGGAACACAGACAACATCAGAGACAGAATTGAGGGAACACAGAGAGCATCAGAGACAGAATTGAGGGAACACAGACACCATCAGAGACAGAATTGAGGGAACACAGACACCATCAGAGACAGAATTGAGGGAACGCAGACACTATCAGAGACAGAATTGAGGGAACGCAGACACCATCAGAGACAGAATTGAGGGAACACAGACACCATCAGAGACAGAATTGAGGGAACACAGACACCATCAGAGACAGAATTGAGGGAACACAGAGTGCATCAGAGACAGAATTGAGGGAACACAGACACCATCAGAGACAGAATTGAGGGAACACAGAGTGTATCAGAGACAGAATTGAGGGAACACAGACACCATCAGAGACAGAATTGAGGGAACACAGAGTGCATCAGAGACAGAATTGAGGGAACACAGACACCATCAGAGACAGAATTGAGGGAACACAGACAACATCAGAGACAGAATTGAGGGAACACAGAGAGCATCAGAGACAGAATTGAGGGAACACAGACACCATCAGAGACAGAATTGAGGGAACACAGACACCATCAGAGACAGAATTTAGGGAACGCAGACACTATCAGAGACAGAATTGAGGGAACACAGACACCATCAGAGACAGAATTGAGGGAACACAGACACCATCAGAGACAGAATTGAGGGAACACAGAGTGCATCAGAGACAGAATTGAGGGAACACAGAGTGCATCAGAGACAGAATTGAGGGAACACAGACACCATCAGAGACAGAACTGAGGGAACACAGAGTGTATCAGAGACAGAATTGAGGGAACACAGACACCATCAGAGACAGAACTGAGGGAACACAGACACCATCAGAGACTGAATTGAGGGAACACAGAGTGCATCAGAGACAGAATTGAGGGAACACAGAGTGTATCAGAGACAGAATTGAGGGAACACAGACACCATCAGAGACAGAGTTGAGGTAACGCAGACACTATCAGAGACAGAACTGAGGGAACACAGAGTGTATCAGAGACAGAGTTGGGGGAACACAGAGTGCATCAGAGACAGAATTGAGGGAACACAGAGTGCATCAGAGACAGAGTTGAGGGAACGCAGACACCATCAGAGGCAGAATTGAGGGAACACAGAGTGCATCAGAGACAGAATTGAGGGAACACAGAGTGCATCAGAGACAGAATTGAGGGAACACAGACACCATCAGAGACAGAATTGAGGGAACACAGAGTGTATCAGAGACAGAATTGAGGGAACACAGAGTGTATCAGAGACAGAATTGAGGGAACACAGACACCATCAGAGACAGAATTGAGGGAACACAGAGTGCATCAGAGACAGAATTGAGGGAACACAGACACCATCAGAGACAGAGTTGAGGTAACGCAGACACTATCAGAGACAGAACTGAGGGAACACAGAGTTTATCAGAGACAGAGTTGGGGGAACACAGACACCATCAGAGACAGAATTGACGGAACACAGAGTGCATCAGAGACAGAGTTGAGGGAACGCAGACACCATCAGAGGCAGAATTGAGGGAACACAGAGTGCATCAGAGACAGAATTGAGGGAACACAGAGTGCATCAGAGACAGAATTGAGGGAACACAGACACCATCAGAGACAGAATTGAGGGAACACAGAGTGTATCAGAGACAGAATTGAGGGAACACAGACACTATCAGAGACAGAATTGAGGGAACACAGACACCATCAGAGACAGAATTGAGGGAACACAGAGTGCATCAGAGACAGAATTGAGGGAACACAGACACCATCAGAGACAGAATTGAGGGAACACAGACACCATCAGAGACAGAATTGAGGGAACACAGAGTGCATCAGAGACAGAATTGAGGGAACACAGAGTGCATTAGAGACAGAATTGAGGGAACACAGACACTATCAGAGACAGAGTTGAGGGAACGCAGACACTATCAGAGACAGAACTGAGGGAACACAGAGTGTATCAGAGACAGAGTTGGGGGAACACAGACACCATCAGAGACAGAATTGAGGGAACACAGAGTGCATCAGAGACAGAATTGAGGGAACACAGACAACATCAGAGTCAGAATTGAGGGAACACAGACACCATCAGAGACAGAATTAAGGGAACACAGACACCATCAGAGGCAGAATTGAGGGAACACAGACACCATCAGAGACAGAATTGAGGGAACACAGAGTGTATCAGAGACAGAGTTAGGGGGACACAGACACCATCAGAGACAGAATTGAGGGAACACAGAGTGCATCAGAGACAGAATTGAGGGAACACAGACACCATCAGAGACAGAATTGAGGGAACACAGACACCATCAGAGACGGAATTGAGGGAACACAGACACCATCAGAGACAGAACTGAGGGAACACAGACACCATCAGAGACAGAATTGAGGGAACACAGAGAGTATCAGAGACAGACAAAAACAGCATCAAGACAAATCTGCGGGGACATAGTCCTATTCTGTCGAATAATTCCTACAAGATATATCGATCCATGACACATCTTTCAAACAGCACAATCACCAACGTTACACTGTATTGAATCAAATATGATTTACCCGTGTTCATAGTTGTGTATTAACGGGGAATGACGCACAGAGTTGCCCCCCTTATGACCGTCGATCATTTATAGCTCAACTGTGATCCTAACTATCATCGTGCACATATCTACACTGTATTTAAGTTGAACATTGGAAACACAAAGTTTGACAGCATGTACCGTATAGCGGTCCCGTCTGGCTGATGAAGGTGTAGTCGACGTCTGTTGGGACGAAGGTGTAGCAGTTGCCGTGCATGTAGTTGTAGAAGCGGGTGAAGTTGCTGCAATCGTATGTTAAAATAATCATTCCCTACAGCTTCAGGCTATCGCCATATCAATTCAGCATGATCTTGTTTATTCACATTGATTCTATTTTGTATATTATATAGATAGCTACGCAATAAATCGCAAAAAAACAATGAAGAACGAAGGGTTGTTTGTTTCACGATAAAACCTTGTTCCATCATGACGTCATTTCAGGAGATCGCAACATGATGACGTCGTACTTTGAACGAGTTACCAAACTTAACCCCCATGTTCCTAGCAGAGACGTGTCCGACATTGTTGAGCGCGGGCTGTATTCAGTGAGTCATCATTATTCATTGTTTGTGCATGAGCTGGCAATGTGCGGAGCGTCTATGGACAACTGACATACTGGAAACTAGCCGAAGTCAGCGTGCAGTGGCCAATACGTTCAATGTTTCAGTCTCTGATCAGCGGACTATGGAACAGGTACCAACAAAAATGTTGACAATTAAATACGTTCAGGGTGGCACAGGTCAACGACAAGAGTACATGATCGAATGTTTCGAAACCAGCCTCTACGAAATAGAGCTCAAACGGCGAATCATACTGCCAATGTTCATCTAACTACTGGAGCACAAGTTACGGTTGCTCGACGGACACGTGGTGTGCCGCCTCTTACAGTTCGTCAAATTGCTAAAAGACATCAGTGAGTGAGTTGGGTTTAACGCCGCTTTTAACAGTATTCCAGTTATGTCACGGCGTGACAGCTAATGTGGGAGGAAAGCCCGAAGTGATGCAGGTCTTAGATGTTTACCACTTCGGTGTAACCCACAACACGGGTATGGTGCTGAGAAACCTAGAAACATAATCGGGGCGAACCGGGATTCGAACCCACAATCATTGGTTTCGGGCATGCCCAAGGGACGCAACTCTGCACAGCGAATCGCTGCGCCTTAGACGACCTGGCCGCCCGTGCCCCCCTATAAAAGACGATAATGGTGTACACGACGTCGAAACGATTGAAAACGTCGCTGGTCAGGTGTCATGTTTTCAGATGTGTCCCGATTCATTTGGCACTTCCTTGATAGTCGTGGTCGTGTCTGGCGACGTCGAAATGAACCCCAAGCCGATGTCAAGCTGAGAAACTATGATTTGGTGGTGGATCGGTTGTGGTGGGGAGTGGCTTCACTATAACTGAGCGGACCCCACTCCATATTGTGCAAGGAAGGGTAACGTGACAGTACTATCGGACAACATACTGATACTTTGTCGTCCCGTTTGCAAGGCGTGTGTGTCCATGTTTTGTCTTTCATGATGACAACGCATCTGCTCGCCGTTCATGAATCGTCAATATTCGCCTCCAGCAGCACAACACCCATGGCATGCCATGGCCAGCAATGAGCCGAGACCTTTCCCCCATTGAAGATGTCTGGGACATGGGTCAAAGTCATAAGCCGACGAATACATTGGCTGAACTTGGCCAGGCGCTGCAAGCGGGGTGGAACAAATCCCCTCAAATCGCTATTGGGAGACTCATACGCAGTATGCCTTGTCGACTGAATGAATGTTTGACAAATCGTGGCGGTATTATACACTACTGTTCCAAAAATCACAAGCATTATAAAATCGGCAGAAGTCCATACAAGCATCGCAGATATTACTTATAATTATGAAAATAATTTTGTTGATTTCATTTCATTTGAAACGAGGATCCGCCTGGCCGCCATTTATTTGTTCAGCTTTTGAAAAGATATTCCTTTATTCACCAAGTAGGAAATACCTTTCTCTTTCCAAAATGCTGAATACGTGAATAAAGCCGCATTCAACCAAAGGCATACATCCATCCACCGATCCACCTATCCAACCACTCACCCACTGACAAACACTCACTCACTCACACAATCTATTAGACTCACCTAGGAGTGCAAACTTTTCCTTGAAAGGAGCACTCAATCTATTAGACTCACCTAGGAGTGCAAACTTTTCCTTGAAAGGAGCACTCAATCTAGTAGACTCACCTAGGAGTGCAAACTTTTCCTTGAAAGGAGCACTCAATCTAGTAGACTCACCTAGGAGTGCAAACTTTTCCTTGAAAGGAGCACTCAATCAGCATATCGTGGAGCTGGTGGCCGATTTGGATTCTCCTCGCCGTCTTCATCTGTAATAATGCTTTCTGGAAGTCGATAGTTGCCCGGTAGTTGCTGTCGTAGGTGTCGTAAGAGACTGATGAATTCTCCCAGTCATAGAAGTCTTCGTTATCCATTGGTTCACTCGCGTTCTGGGAACAGAACCTGGTCATTAAAATCATACATGTATTTTGTGTTTAAAAATGAAGTTTAATCGTCAGTCGCTATCATTTGTAAAACAATGTCTTTAAAAAATGGTCGGTGTTCATGTTCATGTAGTTTTTCTTTGCATGACAGGGGCGGTGGGGTAGCCTAATGGTTAAGCGTTCGCTCGTCACGCCGAAGACCCGGGTTCGATTCCCCACATGGGTACAATGTGTGAAGCCCATTTCTGGTGTCCCCCGCTGTGATATTGCTGGAATATTGATAAAAAAAAAAGCAACGTACTCACTCACTCACTCACAGACAACCTGGTAAATAGGGATTCCAATGATATTCAGTTCTACGGTTGTATATCAGCTCAATGTGAACGATAGCTGACGCAAAGAATGTCATGGACGTGTTCTTCTGTGATCAACCTCGAGGTGGACCTTGGATTCGAACCAGTGTGACGGGTTGAGCAATCCCAGTTTTCTGAGACAACATCGATGATGTCAGAATTCAGAGCATTTCGCTCTTTCTAAGGTGAGTATTATTCAAATGAAGATGAGTTAATATCACTATCCACTCCACTGCGCTGGACTCATTTATTCACGACCGCGCCGAATTCAAACTTACAGCGTGTTAACAGTATGAAAGTATGATACTTGAGGATGAGATTTATTTTGAAAAAGATCAATGGTTCTTGAAAATGCTTAAAAAGTATTTTGTCCTCGGCTTTAACCAAAGAAGTAAACCGGCCACTGGACATGCTTGAAGTTCTGTAAACAAAATGTTGTGGATGGAAAGAAAGTTTTTGGGTCCTCGTTTCAGAAAAGAATAGTGAATATCTTTCAGCGCTGACTACAAATATATCTGTCTCAAACAAACCTCGAGTACTTTCGAAATCCATAGTAGAAACAAAAATGAGGCACAAACATTTTTGTTTTTTATTTCGGAAATCTCCGGTAGATTTCGTAAATCTTCGGCATTAAATGAACATTTGTTGTTATTGTTTTTAGTGAGCCTTTACCTCATATCGTAAAGCTGTCTTCAAGCTGTCAAATTCAGTCTCTTCCACCTCAATACTACTCTTCTTTACTGGATTAAGGTTGCAAATGGTTACCGCTGGGAAACGAAGTTTTGAGTTGTATTCGAGACTGACCAACGTAGATACCTCCCACCTGCTGTAGGCGATGCCTATCGTCCAGATGTTGTACACAGCAACGCCTTTGAAATACATTTATCATAAAAAAATGAAATAATAAATATGATCATTCTTTACAGTACAAAATATCAATAATGAAATAATTCACCAAGCAGACTCACACACACTCACACATTCACACGCTCACATTCACACGCCCACATTCACACCCTCACATCCACACATATTTACACCCATTCACAAATATTCACACACACATTCTAACACATTCACACGCCCACATTCACACAAATCCACACATATTCACACACATTCACACAAATCACTTACATTCACACACTAACACACATTTGTGTCCTGTTTATCTCGGACACAATATCAAAATGAAGTACGGGGGGCAACAACTGCATTCCCTGTACACTGGAACCCAGCACTTCATGTTCATTTTGTTGACAGTTTTCAAGAACCGATTTGAGAATATATTTCATATTTGTCAGCATTGGTTTGAATTAGTCAATTGATACACACCTATCTTTTGTTTTAACTATCGCCTTCACATCTTGATATAAATATTAGAATTGTATGTAAATTATCGGTAGAGCATGAGACACAATAACAGTGTGTGTACCATAATCTGTTTTGAATAGAAAACACACCAGATACCTGGTGCATACAAAATGCGAATACTGGATAATGAAACCAATCCCATTTCTGCAAGGTACAAGGGATGATTGGTATGTTCTGATATTGAAATGAACTACTTTCAACAAAGTCGACTTCTACATTGATACGCTTTTGATTGGTGTTTTATCCCCGTTTCATAGAAGTCCTTCACTTGGCTGTCCAAAAAGTGGCTGGGATGACGCTTCATTCGAATCAAAATGATGGCGCCAGATCAGGAGGAGAAGGTCGGTGCTGCAGGACTTCAAGCCACACTCTTGGATTGTCGCGATGGCAATGACTAAGGCATCGTCTCGATGGAACAACACATCTTTTCAGCTTCCCGCGTCTCTTAGTTTTAAGTTCACCCAGTTATTGCCTCAAAGGTTCAGCATCATATGTTGCCTTTAATGATCGGCCTTTAGAAAGATAGTCCACCATGATGACACCCTCGGCACACCAGAGCAAGGATGCCATGTTTTGATTATTGTTTGGAACCCAGGTTTCATCCATTGTCACACATCATTGCAAGAACCTTTCTGGATCAGCTTCAAACATAGCTAGATTATCAAGAGACATGTTGTGCCTGGTGCGTTTTGGATCAGATTACAGAAGTTTGGGAACCCACATAGCTAATACTTTATTCATTGTTCTCTCCTGTGAAAAAAAGTAATATAACGCTCAGCCATTCGCCCGTCGGTAAAAAACGTATCGTGGATTCTCATCATCATGTCTGGTGTGGTGTCTTCCAGGACGAGAGTTGCCTTCAAGGCTATCCCTGCCACGTTTAAACTCTGCTGTCCACCTCTTTGCAGTGTCATAGTAAGGGGCATTATTCCTTCGTGTTGGACTCATACCTTCATTGATGGGGGCGTCTTCAAGGCTCTCCCTGCCACGATAACTCTGCTGCCTGTCTTCACAGAGACACAGGAAGGGACATCATGATCATTCCCTAGCGATGTACTCGTATCTTCATGGATGGCTTTTTGTGTCAAGCCCCTTTTTCTGCAAGTACTTGATTACTGCAAGTTCCTCACATTTTTCATTTTTTAAAATGTCAAAGACCCCTGCTCAAATGACTCAATTGTTGTTATATTTATCTCCATGTAATGCCCAGACCAATATATTTCACTTTTCAGCAATCACTTCAATGTGAACCTTAGAGCTTATCAATCAACCCTCCTATTTTGAAAGTTTAATTATTGGAAACGTTTCCTTACTCTGTTAATAATCAATCAGTTAGTAGCCAACTTTTGAATATGACGTAGTAGTCAACTGAGGAATATGACTTATTAGTCAACTGTGGAATATGACTAAAGCCACCCTGACATTTGCACGAATTTTGTTCCAGCAATGGCTCGCACTTCGGCGTGCCAATGATTAAAGTCTTCGGGAGCGAGCGTCAGGAGTGTGTGAAGGGTGCGGGGGTGCGTGCCATGTCGTAGAGAGAATTTTGAAATGTTCAAAAATTCGGCACGCATCAATTTTCGTGCCTTGTGCGTGCCACTTGCGTGAACCATGCGTGAACACTGCACGAACTCGGCGCGAACACTGCCGACGGTGCGTGTCAATGCGTGCCATGGGAATCCACTACACACTCTGACAAGCCATGCCACGCATTGGTCACGAACTGTCCACGTTGTGGGCGCGCCTGTTCGCGCCGCGTTCATGCATTCGAGCGTGTCGCGGAGTGATCGTGCGGTCGTTAGGGTGTTGTCACGAGTTGTTCACGTAATCATGGAACGCCCAGCTCACGCATAGGTCGCGCACGTCACGAACTGCTCATGAAGTCTTTACGCATTGTTCGCGCGTAGTTCCCGACCAATGAGCGACGACGGCGCTCGAGTCAGTGCGTATGTAAGCGGGTCCTGGCCATTCTGCAACTTGCCAGCAAGGAGAAAGCCCGTAGAAGAAGGGGAAGACCAGTGCAGAAAAGACAGGAAGAGGACAGGCCAGAGACAGAGAAAGAGACAGAGATTGCAGACAGGGAGAGGGATCTTTCTCCTCCTTCCTCCTGCTCAAGTGTGGATGTTGTTCCACAGACACAACTTGAAGTTATTACAGAGACTCAAATAGAACTGTGAAGAAGAGCCCTCAGTAAAACAGACAGAAGAAGAGCATCTTCTCTGTTCTACAATAACAGTGTCTCTGGTATTCAGCATGTTGTATCGTCCACAGCGAGTCGATGAATGAAGCGTCTCTTCTCTTTGGAGTTGAAATACGCCAACAGCGGGATTTGAAGCGTGCCGCCAAGCGGGACAAAGCGGGACCAAAAATTGCCACGACGACTTAACGCATGCGCGAAGTCGCCTGGGCAATGCGTGGCGATGCGGGAAAACAGCGGGAACTATGCGTGTCGTGTGTGACACTGCGGGACATTGCGGTACGGTAGACGTGAACAATGCGCGTACAATACTTAACCTATGCGTAAACAAGTCGTGCAATTGCGTGTCAATGCGTGCAAATTGCGGCCCATTTTTGGTGTGCGAACAGGGCGCTCCGTTGCGTACCACCGAAATGGCACGCCTTGCCATGAGGCATTGCGCGGCATTTCAGGGACACAAATTGTGCAAGTGCCAGGTAGGCTTTAGTGGTCAACTGTGGAATATGACTCAGTAGTCAACTGTGGAATATGACTCAGTAGTCAACTGTGGAATATGACTCAGTAGACAACTGTGGAATATGACTCGGTAGTCAACTGTGGAATATGACTCAGTAGTCAACTGTGGAATATGACTCAGTAGTCAACTGTGGAATATGACTCAGTAGTCAACTGTGGAATATGACTCAGTAGTCAACTTTTTGAATGTGACTCAGTAGTCAACTGTGGAATATGACTGTAAAGTGTGAGATCATTAAGAAAATATAGAACTTTAAATAAGGTATCCACTTATTGGGTAATATTTACAAAACATCTTGCACAAATTATTCTCACCCCGTAACTGAAATATCACTGAAGTCAGGTGAGTCTCTGTACTGTGGTACTCCGGGTTTAATGTGTTTATTGTTCAATGCCAGACAAAAAGGTGATTGATAACGTCGGCTATACACTGAAACACGGTCAACCGAGCTTAACAATACGGTCCATTTGTAGGCCACTTTAAGCTCTATTTACAGTCTATCGCTCCGTTGAAACCCCACAGACCGAAAAGAACGACGTGATGGTGTCCCATTCTTCCCTGCAATCCCCAAAGAGTGATAAACTTTTGATTGTTGACCGACCCTGGAATCTCAGAATGGGATACAAGCGACCTATTCTTTCCTGAAATCCCCACCGAGATACACCGCGACGTTAAACCCATGTACATTTGGAACATGAGATACAATCTGTATTAAACGAAGCATTGTCTGGTCGTGTATAGGCCTTGGATCCCACAGGGACATGTCATCTCAGTATTGTGCAGAACATCAACGTCTGAGTAACTAAATTGTTTGACAGGCATTACTTATTACTTTATTCATGACTTGTGTCTATTTTGTCTGAGTAACTACTGGAACGACAAGTACATCATGTTACAATAGACCACTTTGTGATCAATTAAAGCAGTCCCATTGTAAATACAAAGAAAGCGAAGGACGATATATCACTTTAGGCGCACAACGCTAGTACATATGTAACTAAGGCCTCATAAAAAGCAGCTCCACTATCATAGGAAATCTCATAAAAAACAGCTCCTCAATCATAGGAAATCTCATAAAAAACAGCTCCTCAATCATTGGAAATCTCATAAAAAACAGCCCCACAATCAAAGGAAATCTCATAAAAAACAGCTCCACAATCATAGGAAATCTGATAAAAAAACCAGCTCCTCAATCATAGGAAATCTCATAAAAAACAGCCCCACAATCATAGGAAATCTCATAAAAAACAGCTCCACAATCATAGGAAATCTGATAAAAAAACCAGCTCCTCAATCATAGGAAATCTCATAAAAAACAGCTCCTCAATCATAGGAAATCTCATAAAAAACAGCTCCTCAATCATTGGAAATCTCATAAAAAACAGCCCCACAATCAAAGGAAATCTCATAAAAAACAGCTCCACAATCATAGGAAATCTGATAAAAAAACCAGCTCCTCAATCATAGGAAATCTCATAAAAAACAGCCCCACAATCATAGGAAATCTCATAAAAAACAGCTCCACAATCATAGGAAATCTGATAAAAAAACCAGCTCCTCAATCATAGGAAATCTCATAAAAAACAGCTCCACAATCATAGGACATCTCATAAAAAAGAACTCCTCAATCATAGGAAATCTCTACTGAAAGCAAAGTCCATTGTACGGTTCCGACTGTATCATAAGCATGTGTTTATGAATCTCTATCAAATAGAACGTCACCTGGGGTAAATATCCACGGTTCTATATTCCAAATTGATTATCCGGGCATCAAATATTAGATCTGAAAACACATAACGATTACGTTTCTAGGTCCGTCAACACCATGACCGTTCTCGTGAGACCTGCATCATTTCTAGCTTTCCTCACACATTAAGCTGACACGCCGTGATATAACTGGAATACGGTTCAAAGCGGCGTTAAACCCAAATCACTCACTCACTCATACACTCACAACCCTACCCAGTGTACCCATCTACTCACTCTGATGTTTTTTTCTAGGGACAGAATAATTCGCTGCTACATAACATTACTTTCTCTGAAATGAGGTGAGGTGAAATAGGGTTAAACGTCGCGTCCAAGATTATTGCATTTATATAGCGACGTGCATGTACGTGTGTGTGTGGCTGCTTGTACTAGTCCGGACTGATGCCGATTTACAGTGCTAGCTCACTGAGATACCATGCCGCAGTTTAACATGAATACCCCACTCAGACACAGTATACTGACTCCGAGGCCGACCAGTCCTTGTTTTAGCCCCTTAATGCCGATTGCCAGACAGGGTAACAAGTACAATCTTTTAAAGTCTTTTGGTATGGTATGACGCGGTCGGGGATCGAACCCCGGACCTTCCGCTCTCCGGGCGGACGCTCTACCACTAGACCACGGAGGCGGTCTCTCTGAAAGGAACCGCACAAGCAACTAGTTACGGCCAACAACACGGGTTTTTTTTCAGGAAACCTGTAGTGAGACAAATGACTTCCCATTACGTTTAGTCTTTGGTTCATTTAACCAGCTATATATTCTGCAATTGCATGTGTTTTGGGGAAAAGAAATATTCGGCCGAGAAAACCACGACAGCATGAAAATGTTCGATTAAATAAAAAATAAGAGGTAATACGTCAGAAATTGACGTCACTCACCAGATCCGGTTAACACCGCCAGAACCCAAAACGCTCTCCTGAAAAAGCCCGGTTTTCCTATAAACCTGGATATTCCATGCATGCTCGTGTTTTCCGCGAAGTAATTGGTGAGGGAAGCAACCGATTCATTTCTTTTGCTGTCCATTTTGTTTCCATACATTGCGTCACAGACTTACAAATCCTCTGCTCTCCCAGTGTAAAAAAATACAAGTCCTCACCCGTTGGATCAAACTTAATAATAACACGTCATTCTGAACCTTGCAGTGTTAATACCATATGCCTTCATCCATACTATCAAGTGATGAGGCACTAGGTGATGTTGGATGATGCAACAACTGCTGTAACAACTCACTTTGAATAATTACGTCAGTAACCACGAGCATATGAAGATCCAGACAGAATAGCAAGAATACGTTAATTGACAGTCAAAGGTTACATTACAGAAACACCCGCTACGGGTATGCCTGTGATTGGCTGACGCTCTGGATGTGAACTTCGTAGGCTATTGATTGGCGGAACATCATCCCCGGACCCAAAGTAGTCTGTTTACGTTCCGGTCACCATGGATAAACTCATCAATTAATTCTTCATAAAAAACGGAGATACATTGATAGGTTTGAATCAATACAACAGAGGGAACATTAACTTAACGTTATCTGTCATGCAAACCAAGCCAAGACATTAAGTTTTCATGCCAAACAGTATTGGTACTACCCGATGTTATTGTAATTGTGAGTTGTGTTAGCTACACATGAGGATAAAAAGTCCACAACGACATTTGTATTGTTTCAAATATTGTCCTTGGGCGATTTCTGAAACGACCTTATTGACTTTTTAAAACACAGTAGGGACGTCATTCTATTCAAAACGTTCCGTTACTTTCCCGGAATGGAAAGATGGTTATTAGTCATTCTCTTGAAGCAATCTTCAATAAACAACGCTTGGAATTGGAATCGACGGAACTGTTAGTTTTTCATATTTGACACACAAGTGAATGATTTCAAATCGGTAAACGTGTCGCCAGTGGGGCTTGAACCCGCATCCTATGACTTGTGGACGAGCAATAGCCGACACATGATTTGTAATACATGACGCATGATACAGTGTGGAATAAACTATTAAATATTTTCAAATATTTGTATAATCCTCAAACACTTGGCAAATAATATGTAAAAAGTTGTGTTATATCTTGTTACCTATAACGATGTTTATTGTAAACCAATTAGATAAACCAGGGATTTTTTTACTGAATATTGGACGAATTTTGTCGCTTTTATTTATTTATTAGTAGTATAGTCTCCCTGAATCTACATATATATCCTAGTAATTGATAAAATAGTCCTTTGGGACCCCAGGAAATTGTTAAGAGCCGTGTACCATGCATTGTGTGGATGAGTGCACTCGCAACAGCGGCAAGTTCCACGAGCATCACGACGCCAGAGCTACAAAGCGTTCTGGTTTATTTTTTCAAATAATGTCCACAGAGACTGTCTTGTCAAAGTCTTAATGTAGGAATTGTACATTCCCCTATACACTGTGCCTTGTATTTTAAGTCCTTGAAAGGCATTTAGAAGTGATGCACATTAGGAAGAGAATTTATGAATTCATGAATGTTTATTCACCTGATGAAGGAGTAAGTATATACTCCGAAACGTTGTGTTCCGCATATTAAAGAAGTTGACATCCATACAATCTCTGAACTGACCATTCTGCAAACCTTTTCGAAAATATCAACCGTTCGTGTAGAAAAAAGACGATTTGGTTCAATGTTTCACTCCAAAAGGACAACTGTTTGTTCTTGTTGGCATATTTGGAACTTTCAAAATAGACTTAAAGGATAGTTTGGAATAAACAAGAGCATTTAGCAATAAACATGACCTATAGCATCTGAATCAGCGGGTGTTCACGATGACAAGGATGGCGGATGAGGGTAAGGCACTTCACACATGGGTTGACTGGGTGACAAGCCATCTCTGACATATTCTGTCTCCAGCAAATATCCAACTCACAATGATATTATTTAGGCAGTATTTTATTCAGGTTATTCTCAGTCCCGTGTTGATATTTATTAACATCATAGTTGAGTACGCTAGTAGCTAATACTTCACGCCTTGGTTGATGGTTTCCTTACTGTGTGTTTTACAGCGGTACTCTGGTCGTCTCAAAGATAAGGGAGTACTTGTTGGCTCAAAAGGGATTTATTTCAATGGGCGTAGAGTGAGAACTATACGGTAGTCCGGATCTGCCCTACAACAGATATAAACATCATGGGTATGGACAGTATAAATCATGTACATCATGTTACAATAGACCACTTTGTGATCAATTAAAGCAGTCCCATTGTAAATACAAAGAAAGCGAAGGACGATATATCACTTTAGTCGAGTGAGAACTATACGGTAGAACCTCGCTTATTGATGTACAGTGAATAGCCCCGCACAATAAGTATAATACATATAAGTATACTACATATAAATATACTACATAGCCACAGTTACACTAGCATGTATGGAATACAAGCATTATAAATTCTACAAAATACTATAAATATATACATGATACATATACAAATATCACTTCCAATCAGTATATATCTATTTTAATAAATGTACACTTGGCTAAAACCTCAGTCAAATACATAGTTAAGTTGAATTGAGAATACATTACAATGGTAACTCAGTGAGCTAGCACTATAAATCGCCTTCAGTCCGGACTAGTACAAGCAGCCACACAAACACACACACGTACGTCGCTATATAAGTGCAATAATCTATGACGCGACGTTAAACCCCATTTCACCTCACCTGTTTACAAGCATACTGCTACATGTGAATGGCGGGGCAGGACATGCTTACAGTTTTCGCGAACAGCTGATGTCATCACTGATTTTGAGTTATCCATCCATATACTTTTCATAACTATTTTGTCTTTTACGCCCAATGGAACCTGCTTCTGCAGATGATCGAAACAGATTATTCTCTGGCGTTGACGTTTAATATTACAATTGATTTGTAAATATACTAATGGAGTGAGTGAGTGAGTTTGGTTTTACGCTGCTTTTAGCAATATTCCAGCAATATCACGGCGGGGGACACCAGAAATGGGCTTCACACATTGTACCCATGTCGGGATTCGAACCCGGGTCTTCGGCGTGACGAGCGAACGCCTTAACCACTAGGCTACCCGACCGCCCCATATATACTAATGGAAGAAACTAACTGTACTTGATATAATGTTCAATAAAAATACAGTAAACTACGGATATAACGAACTCAAAGGGACCACTAATTTAAGTTCATTATAACCGTAGTTCGTTATAAACATTTATTCAGCATAACTAAAGCAAACAGTCGGGACAAAAAAGTAAGTTCGCTGTATCCGTCAGTTCGTTATAAGCGTGTTCGTTATAAACGTAGTTTACTGTATATTTATTCTGAAATTAATTAATGAATCTTTCTCTACATATTCATGAAGACATGCTCGACTTAAAGTCGTAATTCACAAATTGGACTTGCATGTTCATGTACGACGCACAATTTGGATGTTTGATTATTCTTTGGAGCTTATCATATTTTTTTAAATGTAAACAGCACACAATGATTGTATGGCTATCATGTGCTTTTAAAGGGCAAATAATGTCAACATAGCAACAGCTTTTAATACTTTAGGGCATAATTAATCACAAATGCTTGACCAAAATAAAATTTGGAAAATGGAAATAGCGTAAAAGAGACGATAAAAAGCAAAACATTCCGCCACTGAGGGGATTCCCCTCACTGGAGTTAAAACTTGTGTTTTATTACCAAAGTCAGCGACGCCCACCGTCAGACATTCCTAGCGTAGTGTAGTCAGTATGTGAGATTCAGAAGAAACGACTGGGTGAGGTGAGGTGAAATTGGGTTTAACGTCGCGTCCAAGATTATTACACTTATATAGCGACGTGCATGCACGTGTGTGTGTTTGTGTGGCTGCTTGTACTAGTCCGGACTGATGCCGATTTATAGTGCTAGCCCACTGAGCTACCATGCCGCAGTTTAGCATGAATACCCCACTCAGACATAGTATACTGACTCCGAGCCGATCAGTCCTTGTTTTAGCCCCTTAATGCCGAGCGCCAGACAGGGTTACAACAAGTACCATATTTTAACGTCTTTTGGTATGACGCGGCCGGGGATCGAACCCCGGACCTTCCGCTCTCCGGGCGGACGCTCTTCAACTAGACCACGGAGGCGGTCAGAGACGACTGGGACAGTAGACCGCTCACAGATGAGTCCTGGTTTCGTCTGGACGGCCCTTATGGTAGCTTAGGCGTCCAGGAAGACGTTCTAGCAGCGCTTGCGTTACTCAACGTTGTCAGTTTGGGACTGGAAGTGCAATGGTTTGAGGTGGCATCAGAACTTACGGGACAACACAGCTCATCAGGTTTAATGGCAATTTGAATGGCGTACGCTAACGGGATGACATCGTTCAAGATCTATCTTTATGCAAATACAGGGACGTAACGACACGTTGCAGTAGGGTAATTCCCGCCCCGTGTTGGTACAGACTTTCTGAGGCAGAATAATATTGCTATACTTCCATGGGGGGCACGGGTGGCCCAGTCGTCTAAGGCGCCCCGATTCGCTGTGCAGAGTTGCGTTCATTGGGCACGCGAGAAACCGATGATTGTCTGTTCGAATCCCTGTTCGCCCCGATTATAATTCTAGGTTTGTCAGCCGTGCTCGTGGGTTTCACCGAAGTGGTAAAGGTCTGAGACCTGCATCAGTTCGGGTTTTCCTCCCACATTAAGCTGCCACGCCGCGATATAACTGGAATACTGTTAAAAGCGGCGTTAAACCCAACTCGCTCACTCACTGTACTGCCATGGCCGACTGTTCTCTCCTCATAGAAGATGTCTGGAGAGAAAAGAGTCTCGGCATTTTTTAACTTGAAAATTGTTGACAATTGAATGACAAATTATTGGCTTATGCTTGCCTTTTTATAGCCACTACCACGAGTTACGAATACCGTAACTTGCACGTGCATTTTGCTTTACTGCTTTCCTCCATCACATTTTTGTACAAGTGTAAAAACAATGCCGCTTAAGAAATTGGAAATCTATAATGGCTGCGTTTTGACGCATGTTTGTTGAATATCAGGCCACCAACATTTTCGGATTAACATATATCCAATTTATAAAACGGATTTTTTGCGTAGTCAGGTTCAATGAACGACATACTTCCTTTGCGTTTCCTTTTTTAAAGAGTGTATGTATGCCTAATGTCACACATTTTATAATTCTATGTAATATTCTTAAAATCTATGACATTTACAGCATGGCGGATCGGGATCATTATCGGGGCGAGTCCGGGATTCAGCGGATCCTTCCGACTAGAGCACGCAAC